ATGTTAAAAAAAAAAAAAAAAGTTTTTTCTGTATGGGAGACCAACTTGAAATGTAAACTTCTTTTAATTACAACAACAACAAAAAAAAAGAGTTAAATACCTTTACACTATTTTTACCAGATTTGCAGCACAAACTAGAAAAGTATAGCATAAAATTACAAATTCTAAAATCTTTGGTGACAACATAAATAAAAATTAAATCTCATTTGCATGCACTTTATTCTATGTACCTAGGTATAATCTCAGCATATCCTGGTAGGTCTCCTATCTATAAATCTCAACTCTAAGTAAGATAAAATAGTATCACACTGTACCTTTGACATTGTTTGCAGAAAGAAATAGAAACCTGCTTCGGAATGCCTTGGCTGATGTCTACTTTACTTCGCAAACAGGCCACACACACATTGGCAGGATTTGGACTAATCAGGACACCGCACTCGCAACATAAGCTTGAATAAACGAAGCATAAAATTTCCAAATTAGATTTCATAGATGTACTAATAAATAAATACTACCAAAAAAACAAAGAAAAGTCTTCACATTACCTGCTGCCATCGAGTCGATCCTGACTCATAGCAACTCTACAGGACAGAGTAGAAGTGCCCCATAGGGTTTCCAAAGAGTGGCTGGTGGATTCTAACCTCTCACCTTTCAGTTAACAGTCGTAACTCTTAACCACAGCGCCATGGTAACTAGTATTAACTATTTGTATATATATCCTTCCAGACATTTTCTATGCAGACACAAACACCCACATTAATTTTTACCAATAAACAAGAGATTTACAATAAATTTCACAGCTGAAAATGTAACTGCAAATTTGGGGAAAGTTGAAAAGCATTGTTATTCATCACACTTTTTTAAAATTGGAAAACTAAGAAAGAGATTAACAGCAATAGTACATCAATGGCAAAAAAAAGACAATTCTATGTGAAGAATGCGTAACATTTATTTGTGTCTTTTCTGCGGGGGAGGAGGGGTCCTCATGGCACAGTGGTTAACAGCTTGGCTGCTAACCAAAAGGTCAGCAGTTTGAAACCACCAGCCACTCCCTGGAAACCCTACCATGTTCTACCATGTCCTATAGGGTCGCTATGAGTCAGAATCGAACTACAGCTGTGTACCAATCTCTTTCTGATAAACATTTCTGAAAGTCTATTTCTGGAAAACGGATAAACCACTGAACTACACCAATAAAAACTGAAGTCAGTCACTTCTAGTTGTAATCATCAAACAGCAATATACTCCAAAAGTAATCTCCCCTTCTCTGCCAAAAAGCCTCAGTATAGCACCAAAACGAGTTGCTGTGGAATCGATTCTGACTCATAGGGATCCTATAGGACAGAGGAGAACTGCTCCATAGAGTTTCCAAAGAGCAGCTGGTGGATTCGAAATGCCGACCTTTTTTGGTTAGCAGCTCTCTTAACCACTGCACCACCAGGGCTCCCAGTATAGCACAGGGACTGTCAAAATGTAATCATTTACCCAAAACAGAAATATTTGAACAGGAAAGGAAGAATATCAATGTCTACTGATTGACTACAACTCACGAGAGTGTCAAAATCCAAGATGTATCAGTGGCAGAAAAAGTTTGAGAGCCGCTGATGTAGAAGTGTTGTCCAAAAAAAAAAAAAAGTCATATAATCTGCAACATCTAATATGGTAGCCACTAGGCAAGTGGCTACTGAGCACTTGAAATGTTGCTAGAACTGAGGAAATGAATAATTTCATTTTAAGTAATTTAAACTTACATAGCCGAATGTGGCTAATGGTTACCATATTAAACAGTGACAATCTAGAAGAATGTATGGTATTTTAAGCCTCTAAAAGCATGTATTCATTACAACAAATTTTCTAACTAAAAAAGAAATCGATTTTCTAATAAGAAAGTTTTTAATTTTTCCCGTTTATGACAAAAAAAAGCTCTCCCCACAATGAGGCAATAGTTTCAAAGACTCACTTTAACATATTTAAAATTAAGAAGGGATGTGACTCACATGTGCCCAGGGCTGCAGTTGGTAGATTCTGTCATATACTCCATTGTCCCGTACACCTTAATTGAAAAAAACAGGCACACACAAGAATCGTGGGAATTAAATTATGTATTTACCTCTTATAAAAAAGTCTTCTTTCTGCCTCTGATTCGGCAGAAGGACCTCATAAAGCAGGAAAGAAGAAAGATCAACCCAATTTGGCAAGTTTGGAAGAAATAACTTTCAGGATCAAAACCAAGCAATTTCTGCAGTTTCCCAGCTGTGAGACCCTCAAGCTACCAAGCTTGGCCGCTGACCTCGGGCCTTACCGGCGCGCCAACCCCGGCGGACCAGCGCGGGGTCAGTGCAGGCCAGGGCCGTTCGGGCACCCCTTACCGGCCACAAAGACCCTCCCTGCACCGGGCGACTGTGCCTCAATCCGCGCAGCAGGTGGTCTCGGGCGGCGTGAACCGCCCGCGAGTCACCCACCCCGACTCGCACCCAGACCCCGTGGGCGCGATTCCACCCCGGCTCCAGGCTGGAAGCGCACACGCGGCGGACATGCGGGTCGAGGCTGGCCCAAGGCCAGGGAGTCCGCGCCACCCTCTCCTCAGGGCCCCGCGCACCAGCAACCCTGGTCTCAGCTGCACAGAAACTATTCAGCGCCTCCTGACCAGACCCAAACTTGCCGTAAACGATCTACACGACCAAATTCCGCCCCCGCCACCTTGTAATCTATCACCGCCTGCCCGGCGTCAGTAAAGATATCGCGAGAGGACTCGAAATCTCGCGGCCCAAGAGATGCCGGTTAAGGAAGTGGGCGGGGGCGGAGAAAACAAGGCGTCTGGGAGCTGAGGGCAATGCGGGAGATTTTGGGTTCTGGGAGGCAGTATGGAGAGACAAGTCCCGGGACCTCCCTTAGCCCCTACAGTGCCTGAGACATCTGTGGACATTCCAGCCTCTCTATTAGGCTGTCTTTTTTCTTGATTTTCCCTGGCCAGAGTTCATTCCAGGCCAACCTTGGCCGTATATAAATCACCTATCTGATATCCTAGACTGGAGCTTGCTTCTTGGTTAAGTGATTAAGTAAAAGTTCTCTACAAACAGTACAACATTACACAGAGAAATTAGAGTAAAGTCCATGAAGAGTAGTGTTTTTGTCTGTTTTGTTCACCATCATATACCGAATACCTGGCACATCCTAAGTGCTCAATATTTATTGAATAGATGAAGTAATGAAAGATAGGCATAATTATCTGTGAAGATGTCTGTGATTTTCAGATAGCTCTAATTATTAGAATGTGCTTCCTGATAATGCACTCAATATTTCCTTATGACCTTATCCCTTGATCTTAGAGCAACACGGATCATGCCTCAGTTCCTCTGCCTTAAACATTAATTCCAAGCATTCTGTATTAGTTTCCTATTGCTGCTACTACTAATAATAATTGCCACAATTTTTTGAAGTTTTTTAAGTTTTAATTTTAAATTAAAATAACACAAATTTGTTATAATTCTAGAGGCCCAAAGTCTAAAATGGATGAGTGGGACTGTGTTCCCTCCGGAGGCACTAGTGGAGAATCTATTTCCTTCCTTTTTTCAGCTTCTAGAGGCTGCCTGCACTCCTTGGCTCCTGGACCCACATCATTCTGTCATTACATCTTTCTCTGACTCTCCAACTTCCCTCTAATAAGGGCCCTTGTGATTACATGGGGTCCAAGTGAATAATTCAGTATAATCTCCCCATCAAGATCCTTGATATCTGCAAAATCCCTTTTGCCATGTAAGGTAACGTATTCACAGTTTCTGGGAGTTAGTATGCAAACATCTTGGGAAGGGGCATTATTCTGCCTACCACACATCTCCTCCTCTTCTAACCCCTCCTTCCCTAAGAACAAGCAGAGTTCCTATCATTGTAGGAGGTATATGCCTCTATAAAAATGCTTACAGGAGCTAACATCACACTATAGACAGAAGCACCACAACGTCCCTGCACAGCAAAGACCCGAAAAACTGAGTAAAACAGAGACAAACATCAATCCCGGAACCCTAAGCATCAAATGAAGAGATAAAGAACTCAGCCAAGCACTGAATGGAATAAGAAACTGACAGAGAACAGAGAGCAAGGAGAGATACTGGCAGAGGTCCCCTATCAGCTAACACAGCATGGATTCACCATCTTGGACTCCTCTCAGAGTGCAGAAAAGCAGCCTCACGGAGCACCCAGTAACCAGCAATACACACCTACCCACATCCCATCCTTCTCCTACCTGCTCGACCTCTGCCTCTTCATAGCTGGTTGCAGTAGCTAGGCCGGCTGGAAGGTGCTGGGTCCCTGCTCCCTGGATTCGCCCCACAAACATCGGAGATCAGAAGACAGGGAGTACTGGAAAAGCACCTGCATAAAGCTCCCAGCAGAAGACATAACAACTGGTAACCAGCGAGATTCACCTTCCCACCCTCAACCCTTCTTCACCGCCACTCAGCCTCCTCTGCTTCCTGCGGCCACAGTCTCTTGGCTAGGAGGCACCAGCTTCAGCCCTGTGCCACTTGTATTAGACCTGCCCAAACTGGGCGGCTCCCTGAGTGCCATTTGTTTGTTACAGGTGTTGCTTTTTTCCACTTCTTTTGGTTTCTTCTGTACCTCTCAACACCTCCCCTCCTTTCTCTCAAACACATGGCTCTGTGTGCCATCTTTGCTTCTTCTTGAAAGGCTGTGAAGCACTGCTAAACTGTGGAACTGCTTTCCAGCCCACACCGCCACACTGGTGGGATCCCTGGGGCTTTTGTTTGTTTGTCTTGATTTGTTCTGTTTTGTTTTGTTTGTTAGTTTTCTTTTTCTTTTCTCGGCTTGGGAGCCCCTTCTAGCCAGTGTACAGTGCAGCTTGGGAGCTATTTCCCCAGTCTGCACAGCCATGTGGTGGAATTTCTGGGGGCATTTATTTTTTCTTTCTCTCTCTCTCTTTTTTTTTTTTGCTTTCTTTTCTCCTTTTTGCCTTTCTTAGTTTCTCAGTTTCTCATCTCTCTATACTTACCTTCTCTGCCTGTCTCCTGAATACCTGGTGCTGTGTGACATCTCTACCCTTCAAGCCAGGCTGTACTTCATGACCTGGGAGCCATTTCCCTGGTCTTTGCAGCCACACTGGTGGTATCCCTGAGGGCTTTTCTTTTCCCCTTTTTTTCTAATTTTAATTTATTTATTTCTCTTCCCCTTTTTCTTTTTTCCTTTTTGTTTTTATCCATTTCTTGGTTTCTCATCTCTCCACTCAAAACAGCAACCTCCCTGTCATAGATTGAATTGTGTCCACCAAAAATATCTACCAACTTCGCTGGGTCATGATTCCCAGTATTGTATAATTGTGTACCATTTTGTAAATCTGATGTGATTTCCTTATGTGTTGTAAACTCTATGACTATGATGAGGTTATACTGATGAGGTTTACAAGATTAGATAGTGTCTTAATCCAATGTCTTTTGAGATATAAAGGAGATAAGCGAGTAGAGACATATGGGAACCCCGTATCATCAAGAAGTCAGTGCTGGGAACAGAGTGCATCCTTTCAGCCTGAGGTTCCTGTGCAGAGAAGCTCCCAGACCAAGGGAAGAATGATGACTCACAAGGACCTTCATCCAGAGCCAACAGAGAGAGAAAGTCTTCTCCTGGAGCTGATGCCCTGAATTTGGACTTGTAGCCTACTGGACTGTGATAGAACAAACTTCTCTTTGTTAAACCCATCCATTTCTGGTATTTCCGTTAGAGCAGCACTAGATGATTAAGACTCTCCCTTAGCACTCTTTTTCTGTTAGTTTGTTGGTTTGTTTTTGGCTCCTGTTTCTCTTTCCTCTTTTCCATACCAATCTTAGCTCCACACATCACAATCTCCCCTTTCCTTCCTGCCTTCCTGCATTGTGCACTGAACATCACACCCTCAAGCAGCACAGGCAAGGCCTACCAGAGCCTACCCTGCACTGATTCCTGGCCCGCCCTGTCAGCCCTAGTACGTGCCACAAACCACTCATCCCAGCAAATCCCTTCAGCTGGACATGCCCTGCTGCAACATAGCTGAGCGATTGACCCTGCCCATTGAACAAGGGGGTGAAAAGTATCTTGCCCACACATGAGCAAACAACAAAAAATGCACAGCACACATGCTTAGACATAATCAAAAAAAAAAAAAAGCAGAACAAAACAAACAAATCTACAATCAATAAATGAGGAAAATCACTACTCCATGTCCCAAAGACAGGAGACAATATCAAAACATATGCAAAAACATGACAGGATGATTCCAGTAGGCATCCAAAATAAAACAAATGACTTTCCAGTAGAATAAAAGGCACTAGAACTACCTGACATTGAATTCAAGTCTCTAATATTCACAGCTATCCAAGAGTTGAAGCAAAAAGCAGACAAAAATGAGGAATAAATAGACAAATTCATGAAAAACGCAGACAAATTCATGAAAAATACAGACAAAAAAATGGAAGAATTCAGGAAAATAATACAAGAATAAAATGCCAAAAACATTCACAACTAGAAATCACACACACAAAAAAATTAGAAATCCAAAACATAAACAACAAGACTTCAGAAATGGACAGTATCACAGAAGGGCTGAAGAGTAGGTTTGAAATGATGGAAGACAGGATCAGCAAAATTGAAGACAAACACTTGGATACAACTCTGTTTGAGGAAAAATCAGAAAAAAGAATGAAGAAACTCTGAGAATTATGTGGGATATAATCAAAAGCAAAAATTTTCTTGTGATCAGAGTTCCAGAACAGGGGGAGAAAACAGAAAACACAGAGCATCATTGAAGAACTGCTGGCAGAAAACTTCCCCAATATCATGAAAGATGAAAAGCCGACCATCCAAGAAGCTCAATGAACCCTATATAGGATAGACACCAAAAGAAAATCACCAAGGCATACCATATTCACACTCTCTAAAACCAAAGACAAACAAAGAATCGTGAAAGCAGCTCAAGAAACATGAAAAGTCACATACAGAGGAGAAACAATTAGACTAAGCTCGATATTTTTGGGCAGAATCCATGCAGGCAAAAAGGCAATGGGATGACATATATAAAACCTTGAAAGAAAAAAATTGCCAGCCAAGAATAACATATCCTGCAAAACACTCATTCAAATATGATGGTGAAATTAGGACATTTCCAGATAAACAGAAAGTAAGGACAATGTAAAAACCAAA